AAACACACACACAGAGGCTCTAATGCCTGCGTCTCAATCTCGCGGCCCATGTCACCTCCACTTACGGCCGCATAATGGCGTGAAGAAATATTTAAAAAATTATTCAAAATAATTACTTAATATTAAGGCAACAGGCAGAGTGTTACAGGCATCGCCCTAAAGAATGTAGCCTGATGGGCAGCGTAGTCCGTGCTGCAGGGAGAATGGACTGTCACACCCGTGATGTGTCTGTGAGCGAGGAGGGAGAGAAAAGTATGAGCTGTCACCGAGCAGAAACGGGAGCTGGAAGCATGTAATGTCCACCTACTGTTACTCATTTTATATTAAGATTTAAACATCTAGTTGGTACTGGTATGGAGAGTAACCTTCAGTGATAGTAATAAATCACACAGCAACAGGACATTCATGTAGCTGTAAACAGCATGATAATATATTAAATAATCCAAAGTATTCAGAATATGTTACTCTCATTGTGTAATGTAATGAAATACATTACAAAATATATTCCGGGGCATGTAATCTGTAATCTGTAGTGGAATACATTTTAAAAGTAACCTTCCACCATGGGTGTATGCTCCATGTTGCTTTCACACTGAGTCTAATATATAAATATTATATAAATATTTAGTGTGTAATGGTGTGATTGCCGTCACACTATTGAGTTCCTGTTTCTCTTTAATATTTGTTCTTCTACCTTATTACTCTAGTTGCTCCGTTTCTTTGCTGTTTAACTACTCTCACAGTTTTTATGAGACTTTCACCATTCAAAGTCTGCTCTTTCTGCTAATGCCAGTTATATCTTTGGTGCTCGTAACTTTTATACTTTTTGAAATACACGTGTGATCGCCGGTTTAGCTCGCCAGGGTGAGCTGTGTTTTAGCTCACTAAGATGAGCAGGCGTCCTGAGAGTGGATGGCCCGGGTCCGAATCTTCCTCATGGCAACATTTTTTTTCAGCAGACAGTTCTGCTTCTTCAGCTGGTTTTGGAAATCAGTTTCTGCTACACTGCTTTCACACTGAATTTTCGCAGGAAATGCAACTTTTTCTGGTTCATATTATTATTATTCTAGATGCTCCGTTCCTTGGCCTTTAACTACTCCCACAGTTTTTGTGCTATTTTCACCATTCAAATTTTAAAATACTCTGCCATTTCTGCTCTTGCAACCTTTATCTTTTGGTGTTCATTACTTTTATACATTTTAAAATATAAAGCTTTTTTTTTTTTCCATATTTTTGTCCCATTGAAATGAATCGGACCACACTACAAGTGTGGCCGCCAGTTTAGCTCACCGCGGTGAGTTGTATTTTAGCTCACTGATATGAGCAGGCGTTCTGAGAGCGGGAGGCGTGAGTTCAAATTTTACCCATAGCAAAACAATTGTCAGCAGACAAGTTCAGCTTGCTGGTTTAGCTCACGCAGGATGAGCAGGTGCTCTAATAGCGGGCGGCGCGGGATCCCACCTGTGACCCTTCAGGTTTTGCCTCTTTTTAGCAGATAGTTCTGCTTCTTCAGCTGTTTTCGGAAGACAATTTCCATTACACGGCATTCACCCTGCATTTTCAGAAGAAACAAAACTTTTTCTAGTTTGCTTCTATTGTTGAATGAATATTCTGGTGACAGTTTGCAATTTTGGGAAGCATGGTTAGCACTGTTGCTTTACAGCAAGAAGGTATTGGATCCTCTGGGATCTTTCTGTGTGGAGTTTACACTGCTCCTGTTTGCATAGGTTCTCTTTGGGAACTCCAGCTTCCTCCCACATTCTAAAGTCATGCACTTAGTAGGGGTAGGTAAACTGGTGAGTCTACGTTACCTGTAGGTGTGAATGTTAGTGTGAATAGTTGTTTGTTTGTTGCCCTACAAACACTGGCAACCTTTCTGGGGTATACAGTACTCTGCCTTTCGCCCTGTGGTAGCTCAGATAGGCTCCAGCACCCCTGTAACCCTGAATTGGATAAGCAGAAGAGAATGAATCGATGGACACTGTGCAGTTTGTCTTCACCTACAAGTCTACAACCTCAGCCACAGGTGGTAGACAGAATATTTACTTTTTAAAATGAAGGATTTTTCAATTTTGTACCAACTATATTTTATTGGGTCAGTTTGGGATGAAATTAAATTAATCAAAATTCTACGGCAAAGCTTTTTTTTTTCTAAGAATTTACTCCTACAGTAAAGATTAGATCCTTTTAAATATCAAATTTAATCATAAATATCTGAAACTTGAAGAGAGCTTAAATGAAAAACTAAGGGAGCATAGAGTATAAGGTGCTTATGCTTGAAAAGGTTTTCATAAATTAAATTATTCCTTGTCTTAACAAAGCACAAATTTACTGTGTGTGTTTGAATCAGTCTGACAGGATGTGCCATAATAAAAAAATAAGCTCAGTTTCCTCCATGCTCAGGGAAAGTGGCAACTTGCAGTGTTGTAAAATGAAGCCAGTGCACAAATAAAAAAAAGGTCATTTCCTTTATTGGTCACTTGGTCACAACTGTGGCCAATAATGAGGTGAGTTAATCTCTTAGACCTACATGTTTAAAAAGCTTCCAGGACTTAGTAACTTAGTAATCCAGGCATGTTTATGGAAAGCTGCCACCTTTATGAGAATTGTAGACTGGAGTTAGGGGCATACATACTTTGATTAACAGGTGTCAATATGGGCTTAACTCCCCTAATTAGTGCTGATCTCTCCAACTGTTTGTGATATTTTAATAAAAAATAATAATATGTCCTACTGTGTGGCACAAATTGGTTGGGTGATCTCTAAGTGCTCTTAGAGATCACCCAACCAATTGAACCACTTCTTATCCAATATGTTGGATAAATAATATGTTAGCGTGATTACAGGTCTCTGTGCAGCTGCAACAGGAAATGATGTTAGAATGATTGGGGTACAAACGAGGGGCCGACCAGTGTCACGAAACACAGTCATTTTATAGACAGATCTATCACAGCTCATTTAAATATACTTTATACATGCTCATAATTCATGTGCTATTTTGACAGCTTACTCTAAATAGATGTGACGCATGACAGCTGCAGTCTAAAGCCTTTCAGTCATTTTAAAATTACACACAGTGCTGCCCACTAAAAGTCAAAGCTGCAAAGTGTTAGTCAAAGATTTTCAGTTCAACAGAGATACTTGGAGTAAAACACCGTCTTCTTCTCCTCCATAGGACATGCAACGCACTTGTGGTTAACGGGTGATTGAAAAAAACAAACAAAAAACAAATTGAACTCTGACGTAGATGAACCTGTACATGAGTTTCCATACATGAGGGCAATTAGATGCTTTGAAATCCTGGAAAAAACTATTGTAGACGTTTGAGACTTTCTAAGAATTTCACAGTAACAGTAAAAACTTGGTCCTGGTAAAGAAAAAAGTTAGTCACAAAGACCCGGAGATTTTAGGTGAAATGATACTACCAGCTCAGCATTTCCCGTGGTTGTTGTTCTGTGGTTGTTGTGGGAAGTTTGCGACAAATGTGTGAGAAGCACCTGCAGACACACACTGCATACCAATAGCTACGCGAATACACACACCTATTATGTATACTAATATATATGTAGATAGATAAATAGATCTGTATCTATGTATATATTTCCACCCAAACCATCTCTGTGCTAATTTATAGCTGGTTTATTGAAGTAAAGCACAGATGGGACAAATTTTGGTGCAGACGAAACCTGGCTGAAGAGAAAATGCAGAAGAGGCTATAATGAGATTGAGTGCAATTAGCAGACAGTAGAATATGAAAAGAATGTGTAAAACACTCCTTATCGCTGAATGAACACGTGATTTTCATGTTTCAGGTCTGTTATTAGCTGTACACTGAATGTCCCTTCACAGTCTGTTTCCATTTTGTCACGTTGTTCTTCCGCAGTGCAAACCTTTGCAAGACTTTGAAGTATTTCTAAAATTATAATGTTTCCATTTCATGCAAAATGAAAATGTGGTGGATAAAAATAAACCGCAAACCACTTCAGGAAAATAAGCAAAAAAAACCAGGTGGGGGTGGATTGATGGAGGTTACTCAGCTGCACCTGACTTCACATACCCTGACATCACGGTTTATTGAAACCTCTTAAAAAGGTGAAAGATGACATTTTTATTTTGCTCACTTTTCACTTACTGTTTGAGCAGCACAGAAAATTACTTGGTTAAGTTTAAGTTTGGTTTGATTGAACGTATACGTCTACAAGGATCCACACGTCACGAGTTGGGAAACAGACCAGTGAAGCTTGGGTTGGAGTTCACTCCAGAACACATCATTATCCACGACAGAGTGACACCTCTCTGGGGCGGGACAAGTGGTAGACGTTTGCGTGATTGAGGTCGACTACCTGTGGTCCTGATCTTGTATATTTGTGATCTGCAAGAGTGTGTGCTTTGACATTACGTTTATTTGTTTTTCTTTTCCCAAACAAATGCTTATAGGGGAGCAATTTGTGTAAGATACAGCTGTGGTGGCCTTTATTTATAGAAGGGATTGGTATTCATATATAGAAGTATAACAAACCCAGGCCCAGTCTCATTGTACTACGCAGTCTAGCTTTGACCATAGCTACGTGGGACCAGGGTTACAATTAATCGTACTTTATTTCAAGGTTCCTGAAGCAAAATTACATCACCAGTGCAGCTCACATGCATTGTGTTTTTGCAGTGCAGTTTTTAGTCTAAACACAGGAGAAGTGCTCGACTATGGAAATGGGATGGGAATTGTTCCAAAGTACGGGAGCTTCTTGAACACACATTAGCAGAGTCTCATTAGAATACTGCTCTACCTTGTGTGGGTCACTTCTGTTCCAGTTGTATATCAAACAAGCTTGATCATTTTGCCACCTCATGACCCGATCCTTTGAAGTCTTCTCAGTCACTGCTGTGGCTTTCATGTCACGTCATAAACAGAACACCCTGCTCTGCTGCTTTGAGCACAAATGACAACAGCTCCTCCCTGAAGGCAGATAATGTGACTTCCTCTGGTGTTGGTAACTTAAACACAGATAACCAAAATCTATCATCAGAGTCGGACAGCAGCAGAAGAAATAGGACAGACAGTAAGTCAGTTCATGCTTACATTTGCTTTCATTCCTCAGGCTTCCTGTCTTTTTATTTTTAAAGCTTCACCTTCTTATATCATTCCAAATAGTGTTAACCCTATAATGCCCTCTGTATCATATTTGGTACATGAGTTTCTGAGACATATATCTCATCAAATTGTTTCAAAATCTTATGGACAAAACTTTGTTAACAGCAATGTTAAATAAAAGTTGCAAACCTCCCCCCAATGTCTCACATGCGATACAAAAAATATATAATAAAAAATATATCATACATAACACGATCTAGCAAAAACAAGTTTGTGGATTTTGTTATAAGGGTTAACCTCTTAAGCCCCAAGCCTACCTGATCTCCTGCTTTTGCCCCCGTATCAGGGGGCGTTGGGGCTTAAGAGGTTAATAAACATCTCAGTTCCAAAGAATCAGGATTTTCTGGCTTTTTTTTCAAGGGTTAAGACTTGATCGTTTTCTAATTTTCACGTCATTCTGAATGTATTGTAAACGGTGTTTTCTTACATTTCTGTTTGTCAGACTTTCCTTTAAGCATTTGACACAAAGATGGAATATACGACTGGCTCGGATTATGACTACAGCGAATACACAGAAGCTGTACCATGCACCAGGGACAATGACAACAAACTGGGAGCGCTGCTGTCCATCCTTTACTACTTCATGTTTGCCTTCAGTGTCATTTGCAACGGGATAGTCCTCATCATCATCTGTCGGTAAGTTAGTCTAACAAAGCTGGATTATTTTGTTCTCTGCAGTGTTGGCATTAAATAAAAGATCTTGAATGACGGTCATTTTAAAATTTCTACTGATTTAACTCTTGAGACTTGTGATGGGTCGGTCACCCTCTCAACGTGCACAGACACCTGAGAACTGTCCACCCATCAGTGCAATGGGACGATAAAACACAGTCAGTTAATCAGTCAGTAATGAAGGTGCACTTGCAACCGTTGCTGCTGCTTTTGCTGCAGTATCTACAGCATCATGCATATACCACCACAACCACCTAAACCAACCCACCCAGAGCTCTATGAGACTCTGTGAGAACTCAGTGAATGAAGACCCGCCAATGATTGCACTTGATATCGAAACGTTTTCAGTTGTGGATGATAAAGGATTCAGGAAGTTTATTCGTGCACTGAATTCTATTTTATATTGTTGTTGATAATAAATTAATTCAAGCAATAAAACAACTTATTGAGCCGCTCGGGAGCCGAAAGAGCCGGCTCTTTTTAGCGAGAGAGCCGGTTCTCTAAAACGAGCCGGAATTCCCATCCCTGCTGTGACTCACATTACTTTTAGGTGAAAATTTAAGCTGTAATTCCTAAGATGGTAATGCTGACTGATTTAGCAACACCTGTGGTCTAGTCTGGTAAAGTTCTCGACTGGGTTCTTCATAAGATGTACGAGGGAAAAGAGTTGCCGTGTCTTAGAGTACAGCCACATTCAGCCTTTTCTTATTACACGAGTACTGTAGAGTTCATGAAAACAACAATGTAAAAATATGTCAAGTCTGTGATGGTTATGCTTCAGTGCAAGTTAAAAGTGGCTTGTTGCACCATTTCATGAAAGTTATAGGTGTGAAAATAAAATGAACCCAGTGGAGATGTCGGATGAGTCAGTCCTGAATCTGTGAACACGTCCATCTGAAAGGTGGGACATTCTGACCAATTAGGTACATAAATAGATCTAGCAGTGTAACTGATTTTAAGACAGTAAGATAAGCGATATATTCACTGTGTTAAAACAGCCAAACCAAAGCAAAATAAATAACTGTCTTAATAAACAATAACACTGTACAAAACATCTTGGAAAGTGAAAGATTTACACTAAAAAGGAGCTGACTTAAACATAAAATACAAAATAGAGCTCCCAGTAAATCAAAGCCTAAATACAATGTCAAACAAGAATGCAGGTATTTGCTGTACGAGGCTTTAAAGGCAAAGCGGCAGCTCTTTGTGTGAGTGGAAAAGTATTTAAATGTATCTGAAGCGAGAAAGGAAAGGTAGCAAGAATAGACTAGTTAATAAGCCTATTAACTAGTAACCAGTATTAACCAGTATTACAGTTCTATCACTATAAGGCCATAGTGCCAAATAACCATTGCTTATTTCATTGAGTTAACATTTGATTGTGTACGTAAGAACGTTTTGGCATTGTTGAGCTCAGCTGCAGCCTGAGTGGTGGTTAACATTTGGACAGCAAAAACTAATGACTGTAAAACCAAAACTCAAAGACGCAGACTATTTGCAAATCTCAAATTAGGTCAACAAACACCTGCAGGCCAAACGTGTTCAAGAACAGGCTGCGGCATAATTTACCATGGTGAAGTACACCAGTAAACAGCAAACTGCCTTTGAAACACTGAAGCCTCAAGATTAACTCTAAAATGATTTCACCTGCCTGCTTTGTAGCAGAGGCTTACAGTGGAATCCAACAACAGCAACCAAACCAAATATATTAACCAGTCAAATTAAGCTGTCATAATTTTAATAGCTTTAAAAATTTGTGATAAGTGTGCCTTGCTCTTCTTTTAAATTTATGTTTTTAGTTAAAATCAGTAAAATTAGCCAACCTTTAGCTCTGTCAGCATGTATTTGGTGTCGTATTGTTTCCATACGTACAGCAGTGTCACCTTTATTTATGTTCAGAGTTTTAATAATTTTTGCCAAGATCTTTTGTTGGTGATGATGCACCTTTGACTACACGGTGGACCATCCATGCATGACAACATCTCATGCTCTCTGAAACACTTTTTCAGATCCATCCATCCGCTGATCCTTATCAGGGATAATGAATGATGACAATGTTGGGATATATCAGCGCCATCAGGGGAGGAAAAAGATTCAGTGATGGGAAACCTGATCTTTCTATATATTCAGTTAGTCAGCTCACCTGTGTGTATGCATCCACATGTCAACACATCTCTTCCTCCCAGGTGTTGACATTTTGTTGTGTTTTTATGAGAAACAGTGATCATTTTGATTCTTATCTCTTCAGAATATGCTGATCTCATTTTTGTTCGTCGATGAAAGTGGCATTACATTTCATCATAGTTTTTACTTAGTTATCGTTTTGTTTTCATCAGAAAAAAAAGGTTGTTAACAAAAATGATCAATGAAACTAACGCTGGTGCAGTAGCTTGACAAAACCTCAAACCCCAGTCAGAGATAAGGGCTAAGTAAGTTTCCTGCTTCAGGCTCTGTGCAAATGCACGTAGGAAGGGGGATTTCAAACCATCCCACTTACTCCAGTCAGTGACAATTTCTGAAGCTGAAGAAAAATACATTTTAATAATAAAAATAAAATTAATAAAGAACATAATAGCCTTAAAATTCAGCATTGTTTCTATAACGCAAAATATTGCACCTGAATAGAGGTGACCTTTTTCCATCGTAGAGTTCTGAGAAATCTACAAAGTTTTAATAGAACTAGTTTGCAGTAGACAGAGTTAATTGATTAACCATCCACCTCTGTAGTGTACCCCACCTCTTGTCATATGTCATCTGAGACGCGCTCCAGGTCCCTTGCTTTGTTTGTCACACCTGCGTTGAGTCAGTTAATCACTGACCCTTGTGTATGTTCATATGTGCAGCAGTATCCCCAGTCTTCAGATTGTCTCTGTACTCACACTTTCCAGTGCCTCCTACTGTTGCTTCTTTTTGATTTCCTGTTTATGACTGCAGCTTGTACTTGACTTCTGCTCTTTGACTCGTTTGCATCAAGTGTGTCATTACTTTGGTTTTTTAGGATTTTTGTATTGTTTTGTTGTTTTTAGTGCTTTGTTTAATGCCACAAATGGCCTGCAGGTCTTCTTTGAGTATTAAACTCTGGAGTTTTGTTCTGCGTTTAGCTTGAACTCTTCATTTCATCGTGATCAGTGAACTGTGGTACATGCTGAGATTTGATTTTCACCCAGGTGTCATCCACGTACTTGAACCAATGACTTGAGTCATTGGTTCAGTCATTGGTTCTTCATGTACAAGTTGGCCACAATGGGTGAAACTGGGGAATCCTTGGCACACCCATGTTTCTGCCTGAAGTTCATAAGAATCTTTGCTACTGACCGGTGACAATGTTTTTCTTGTGATACTCTTTCTGGTTTAGCAAAGCCATGCATCTACTCCTGTCTGCCAGAAGGATGATAATGTTGTTATCGGTTTTCTAATATAACATAACAATACATTTTAAAAGCGCCAATGGCGGAGGAGCATGTTGAAAGAGTTTGAAATATTACTCTTTCTGGGTCACAAAATAAACTTTCAAGACATTTTCTTACTGAGGGTACATCTGTGGACTCTCTAACATGCTTGTCAGGGGCACAGCAGCAGAAGCTTAGAAGGTGCTGTCCTACCAAGAAGTCAATGTACTTTCCACTAATTATATTTGTGCATTCCAAAATATTATTTTATAATTTAATATCTTTGCTCAGACTCCATGGTAATGATGACATCCAGAAATGCCACTGGTTTTAAAGATGTGCTGATTTACTTCACTGAAGGTTCCACTGATCTCCGTTACCTGGAAAACATCTGAGGTTAGATTGTTTCATGATGACTGACCTGTGAATCTTTTTATGTTGACTGCTTTCTAGGTTTGATCAGCTGACCACTGTGACCAACATCTTGCTGCTGAACCTTGTGATGTCCTCCCTGATCTTCATGATCAGCCTTCCTTTCATGGCAGTCTACATGCAGCTCTCTAACTGGATCTTTGGCGAAGTTATGTGCAAGATTGTTAGTACTGTCTACTATCTGGGTTTTTACAGCTCTGTACTCTTTCTAGCCCTTCTGACCTTTGATCGGTACCTTGCAATTCTGTACCCGTTGAATGACTCACAAGTGAGAAATCGAAAGTATGCAGGAATCTCCTGCACTGTTGTGTGGCTAGTCAGTGGGTTAGCATGTATCAGACCAATGATTATCTATAGTAGTTTCTTTTCTAGTCTTGATAACAAAACTTTTTGTGAGGAGTACCCTCGAAACCTTACCTATGTCGATATGGACAAGCTGAGAAAATCTGGGTTTTACCTTCAGCTGAGTGTTTTCTTGATTTTCCCACTGATTGTTATTTTCTACTGCTACAGTAGGATTGCAATCACTGTTATGTCATCCAGGATTGCAAGCAAATTCAAGACAGTCAGGCTCATCTTCATCATTGTGCTGTTGTTTTTCATGTGCTGGACTCCTTTCAACGTTGTACACTTGATGAACATTAACAATGAAGTTAAGAGTGAGTGTGAGGACAAACAGAAACTGGGTTATGCACTTCAAATTACTCGCACCATTGCCTACTTTTACTTTTGTATCAGTCCTGTATTCTATACTTTTGTTGGGAAGAAATTCCAGAACCACTTCAGGCATCTGCTGGTGAAACACTTCCCAAAGTTAAAGAGGCATATGTCTGTTAGTCAAAACAGCAGAAGCTACGTGAACACAAAAACGACACCAAATGATTATAGGGATATTTAGCGAACCAGCTTACGGCCATACCACCCTGAGCACTCGTCTGATTTCGCAAGCTAAGCAGGGTTGGGCTTGGTTAGTGCTTGGATGGGAGACTGCCTGGGAATAACAGGTCAGCCCGGGCACCACGGCACGGTGGTTAGCACTGTTGCCGCACGGCAAGAAGATCCTGAGTTCAGTTCCACCAGGATCCTTCCGTGTGGAGTTTGCATGTTCTCCCCAGGTACTCCCGCTTCCACCACAGTCCAGAGACATGCAATTAGTGGGGATAGGTTAATTGGAAGCACTAAATTGCCCATAGGTGTGAATGTGAGTGCAATTGGTTGTGTCCTGTCTCTGTGTTAGCCCTGTGACCTGTCCAGGGTGTACCCTGCCTCTCGCCCTACGACAGCTGGGATAGGCTCCAGCGCCCCCCATGACCCTGAAAAGGATAAGCAGAAGTGAATGGATGAACGAGCAAGTCATGGTTTTACAACCAACTGAAGGAAGGGATGAGTTCATCAAGAGTGAAACTTTCGGTTTCCAGGAACTAGCGTCTAGGACTCAAACTTCTATATCTTCATTATTCGAGCCAAAGTCCTTAAACCAAAAATCTAATTGCAGAAGATTTTGAAATTTTATTTCATGTAGCTCCTGGTGTACAAATTGTCTGCTATCAACCACAAACCTAGTTTGCCACCAAGTTATGTAACAAATGATATTGTCCCTAAGGAAAATATTTGTTCTCTGTATATTCTGTACATAGCCTTATGAAAGATGGTATATAAGCTTTAAAAGGTTTATTTTTGTTTTATTCTGACCATGGCTGCCCTCTTATGGTCAGAGTTCAGCTCCATCACTGATGAAGCTGAGAAACTTCAGCTTTGAGAACTATAAATACTGGATTTATATTTAAGAGCAACATATTGACAGATCTTTACTTGTTACAGAAAAAGACTTTGCAAGAGTGCATTCAGAAAGTAAAATTTAAGTAGGAATGAACAAATGAACACATGACTGTAGAATAAGAGATGATCCAAAAATCTGTTACATTTAAAAAAAAGTAATCTATAGATATTATATTACATTACAACCTCACAATAGTTTTAAATAATGAGGTACGTTATGTAGAAATAACCTATTCGAGGTCAGCCTTCAGACTGATCTAAACACACTGATTATGATTTTTCTCTACACCGGGCTATTTGATGTTTTTGATTTGGTCATCTCAGGCACAACGCTCTCGCGGAGGCCCCACCCACCTGGTGGTTTTCATTGTTGTTATTTTCATGTCAAGAGAAAGCCAATCAGTGTGTATAAAATTATTCATTTTTGTCAATTTATTCAGTTTTAGAACCAAATTTAGAATGAAAGGAAACAGATTGTAGTTAGAAAGGGTAATTAATGGATACTTAATGTTCATTTCTTTTGTATTAGTAAACACAACGTACTTAAGTAAAGAAACCTGTTTATGACCATGCATTTCTTCATGTTGTTCTGCACATAATAAACTTCACTTCCAAACATTTTTAAATTGCTGATGTGATTTTTTTACAAGCAGTATACATCAGCGGTGTGTGGTGAGTTTTACAGAAAGTTTATCAGAGACGATCCCCTCTTCTCCTGATTCACACAGCTTCAACAGCTTCCTTCACTATATCAGATTAAAACATAGTTTGTACTGCTTATCTGAAATAGACATCGACAGCTTCACCTTTCTGCTCTCCTATCCTGGCTGAAGAATTGTAAATATTAAAATTTTTAATATAAAAATTTAAAAAATATATTGGTTAAGAACCCGTGTGTTTGAAAAAACTGTTGTTCATATGGTCAGTAACACAGGCCTACAGCTTGATTGTTTTGAAATCTATTTCAAAACAAACCCTTTCAATATCTACAGGTATGATTAAAAATATTAATCGGAGTATAGTAGAGTGCTGGTGAAACAGCTGTTTAAAGGTATTAGATTTAGACACTCTCATTGGTTTCTAATCTGAAAATGCAGCTGGACCTGCACCTGGTTAGCTGCTGTCCACTCTCCATTATTGTCAAAGTTTTTGTTTTTTTCATGGTACAAATTTCATTCATGTCTATTATTAGTTTTGACAAGGAAGCAGTGCTGGCCTTGCTTGTCCTGACGAAACATCACTGCCATACATACAATATCTACAATGCTAGCATCACGTTTCCCATACTCACTTGGGAAATCTCCGTTAGCAAGTTAACGCGGATCGCCCCATGCGAGGGGCTGTACGGCGTCAACGTGTTAGTGCTGTTAGCTCGTTAGCACAGTTAGCTCGTTAACGTGTTAGAGCCATGCAGCCCCTCCATGCAAGACACTCCTTCTCTACAGTGGAGTATCTAGATTCTTTTTCCTGAATCTTCCTGCTGAGGCAAACAACTGAACGCCTTTCGCCCTCCACCTCCTGCAGCACTTCAGCTCCTATGCCACACTCCAGAGGCATCTGTCTGCAGTGTGGAAGGCTGAGTGAAATCTGGCTATGTAGAACAGAATCATTCGTGATGGCTGACTTAAGGTCATTGAAAGCTCTGTCACAGTCTTTTGTCCACTTGACCTGATTTGGTGCCAACGCTTTTGTCAAGTCAGTGACAGGTGCTGTCCTCTCTGCAAAGTGGAAGATGAATTTACTGTACCATCCCACTAAGCCTATAAATGCCCACACCATCCTCTTTGTTGTAGGTACTGGATATGCATGGATTGCTTCCATTTTCCCCACTTCAGGCTTCACCTGTCCATGTCCAATCACATATCCAAAGTATTCCCACCTGGCTTTGTGCGATCTTACAACTGTGAGGATTGATAGTCGGATAGTCGATAGTCGGATAATCGGAGGTCACTAAAATCAATATTGAATCGGTGTGCAACTTTGCCAAAACAATGTCGGACTCTGTAGTTTTCTCTGGTCCCCTCCCCAATCAGACCAGG